AATCTTTAGATTCAAAACTCTATACTCTCAATCTAATGCAGCAACCAGACTTGGCTAGACTAAATTAGAGGCACAATTTAACCTTTAGATGTTCCAAAGACTATCTGGGCTTGTGAGCACTTTCCTTAATCTTGGAAACCCATAATTTTTCCATCTGAAGATTTAACATTGAGTTCCAAGGCAACCATTTAATACTGAATAGTATTATTTCTTGGGAGTTACTTATATAGATCTTATGGATGTTGGCCAAATTGTATTTGACACTGAAAAATGAAGGCTTTTAGAGAAAACTGTAATGTCAAACTTTATACCAGTAGTGTGTATAATGTGTGTGTGTGTGTGTGTGTGTATGCATATTACGTTGCTTCAGTCATGTCCCACTCTTTGCAACCCTATGGACTGGGGATTCAGGCAAGAATACTGGAGTGGGTTGCCATGCCTTCTCCAGGGGATCTTCCTGACCCAGGGATCAAACCCTTGTCTCCTGCATTGGCAGGTGGGTTCTTTACCACTAGTGCCACCTGGGAAGCCTATAAATGTGTGTGTGTGTGTGTGTGTGTGTGTGTGTATCAAGAACTTGTTAGAATAAATGGCAGGATAAGAAGGTGCAGTAGGAGACTGGAAGCACCCATCAGGGTATTAGACACTGGGGTGGCAAGGCTGGCTGTAGCAATGGGAAATAATGGGCAGACTATTTGACTCTGGCCGTCAACTCTAGAGCATAAAGGACTTACCTGGAGAGACTCGTTAAATGATATTCTCAGGCCCTGTCTCAGGGATTCTGATTGGCTGGGGTAGAGCTCAGGAATCTGCACTTTTATAATCTTCTAGGTTAAGTCTACACCAGGTGGTCAGCAAGTCATACTTTGAAGAATTTTCAACAGGAGCTATCACCCAGGCTGGCAATGAATATCATCCGTGTATAGTAAGGAATGGTATCTTGGCAACAATTCAAAACAGGGAGAGTAGCAGCTAAGATGTCTGAGGCTCAGGTAGGCAGGTTAACCAACCCAGGATTACTATAATAAATGACCATAAACCGGGGAGCTGAAAACAACAGAAACCTACCCTATTGCAGGTCTAGAAGCCGGAAGTCCGAAATCAAAGTGTTAGCAAGGCTCTCCTCCCTCGAGAGGCTCTAGAGGAGATTCTGGTCCTTGCCTCCTCCAGCTTCGGGTGGCTGCCGGCATTCTTCAAATTCTGCTCCTCATTCCAACCTCTGCTGCTGTCTTCACATGGCCATCCTGCCCTCTCTACACGTTTCCCTTCTGGGTGTCTAAGAATACTTGTCATTGGATTTGGGGCCCATTCAGATAATCCGGAATGATCTTGTTTCAAGATTCTTAGCTTAATTATATCTGCAAAGATCCTTCTTCCAAATAAAGCCACAATCACAGGTTCTAGAGATTAGTACGAAAATGTGTTTTGGGAGCACTGACACCATTCAAACGGAATCAGGGGCCATTTCTGGGCCAATTAGTTGCCTTGAGTCACTGCCAGAGCAAGGGAGAGCGTGGGGGTGATTGGCAAGAACAGTCTGGCTCCAGTGCTAGAGCAGTCTGACCTTTGAGGGAAGGTCTTGGGGCTCAGATTTAGGGACCAGTCAGAAGCTGGCCACTGACAGATGAGCGGGTTGGAGTAGGAGCTGCAAAGTTGACCTTGTTACCTTGAACTTCTGAGTCAGGATTCTATAATCTCCCCTGACCAGGACTCGACTGTGCTCCTGTCCTGGAACAAAGCTAAGCTGCCACGGCAAGTGGACATCCAGCGGCAGTGTGAAGATTAGAGGCTGAGTCAGAACTGGACCAAAAAGAGCAATTGCACAAATAAGCAGAATCATAAATTGTTGTTTGTTGTTTAGTCACCAATTCACGTCCAACTCTTATGTGACCCCATGGAGTGTAGCCAGGCTCATGGTCCGTGGGATTTCCCAGGCAAGCGCACAGGAGTGGGTTGCCGTTTCCTTCTCCAGGGGATCTTCCTGACCCAGGGATTGAAACCAACTGTCCTGAACAGGCAGGCAGATTCTTTACTGCTAAGCCACTGGAGAAGCCCAGAATCACAAATACCTATTAATTAAAGTGCTATTATTATTGCCCCTTTTCACCATAATCTTGTGGTATCAGTATTAACAATACAGGATCTCATTTAACATACAAGAACACAAGCTTTTAAAGATGAAAGTTAGATAGCCAGTAAGTAGAAGAGACAGAATTTAAACCCAGATCACTCTGGCTCCAAATCCCCTTTCTTTTCTACTAAAACATGCTACCTCTCCACAAATTAACTTCCAGTCCTTCTTCTTCTCTCTTTGAACCCTTCCCACCCCATCGTGGGGGTCACTAAGCATAACATGTCAAAACATGTCTTTCTCCACCAAATACCTTACATTAAAAAATGTAACTTGGCTAAGGTAGAACGGTAAATATTTCAAAGTTTTCTAAACTAGAACCACAGGGGTGGGTCTAGGTGGTGACCACTTGATACCTGTGACTATGTCCTATCCATCTTACTGTGAGCAGTAAGGAGCGTGAGGAGCTCAGGCAGAGATCTTGTGCACAGTCCCAAGTCCTAAGCTTGTCTCTCATCTTAAAATCAGGTCTATAATGAGAGTGCCTGTTGCACCATCACTCCTTCCACAATCCCCACAATATTCACCCAATTCATGCTGCCAGTGACATTGTTATTGCTGTTCAGTTGTGTCCGACTCTTGCAATCCCATGGACTGTAGCCTTGCCATGCTCCTCTGTCCATGGAATTTTCCAGCCAAGAATACTGGAGTGGGTTGCCATTTCCTACTCCAAGGGTTCTTCCTGACTCAGGGATCAAACCCATGTCTCCTGCAATAGAGGATTCTTCACTGCTGAGCCCACAGCGAAGCCCAGTGACATTCTACAGCTGGTGATATCCAAGTATTTACTAGTTTCTTCCACAGTGACCCATAGTGGAATGTAACATTGATGATCAAGACCAAGGAAGTTGCTAATACCTTATGCCTCTAGCCCAATGAGGCATTGATGACCTACAAATACCACCTAATCTGTCCTAAAGATAGTGTCAGTTTGATGACACGTATCATTTTTGTTAATAAAGGTTTGGGTACTGGGCCTTGGATCCTCAAACAGCTTGAATGCAAAAACCAAAATTTTCCTGAGCCTGGTGCAAGTTTTAACAATCCTTTAGCTCACCCTATTTCAGGTAATAAGGTTGATATATCTTGTCAGGCTTTTCATAGGACTGAGTATATGAGTTTTGGAAATTAATAATAATAATAGTCTTGCAAAAGGGCTGGAGGTATTGCAATGTTCATCACCTAGTGAACACCAGATCAGCAGTTATTTTGTACAATTCTCAGTGACTGGAACTGTAAATGATGACCTGACCCGTGTACATCTTTTCTCTCAACCTGCTCGGGGTCCTTTTCCTGCTCAGTCTCAAAGGCGCAATCTTTAATTTAAAAATCCATGAATACTTGCAGCAGTACAAAAGTCAGTTTGACGACAATTTAATATTTTTCTGGTGGCAATGTCTAGTTTACTTTAAAAAATTCTTTGAAAATATTTTGGAATAGGTTTGGGTCGTCCTGTCAGAGAACTTGCTAGGAAACCAAAATTGTAAAGTGCTGGTGCCAGGCGTGCAGCGTTTGTTTGGAGCAAGACGTCATCGTGGGAAGCATGTACTTCTTCGGATTACCGTTCGGCGGATTAGAAACCCGCCGAGCAGTCCTAGGTTAGCCCAGATTAACTGCCCTGGGTGCTTCTGGGCCAGAGGGTGAGGGGTAGGAGGTGTCTGCTGAACCCGAAATTCGTTATAAGATTTCACTTGGCAAAACATTTGGAGTTAATTTTTACTTAAATCCCATCAGGCTAATAATGAAACTACCAGAAATGATCTGGAATGGTAACTAAATGGTGCCCGCAACCACGTCAGTCGAACCTTCTGCCCCCACGATTCTGTCTGCCCACATGCTTCTGTCTGTCAGCCTCGGCCTCAGGATCAGCTCTTGCCGCATTGGTTGGATTTCAGGAAGGGGGAAACCCACGATTTAAAGGGCTCAGTTTCCACCTGCCAGGCGTCATTTGCAAGGTCCAACTTGCCTTTGGCACATACTTGGGAGAATCTCTCGCTGTCGTTCACCTATTACGATTACTGGTGAAGCGAAAGCGAGGCCCCGAAAAGTGTCCCCTTGGTCACCTTGACAATTTCTAAAAGCGAAACTTGCGCTCTAGGTTAAATCCACACTGAGTCTGCGGGGCGCGGAGTCCCTGCCCAGGTCAGCAGCGCCCGCCCGGCTGGAGGGCGGGTACGGGGGAGGAGCCTGTACAAGGCGTGGTCTTCCGTGGGAGAGAAAGCAGACTTTACCCCCCACCTTCTAAAACCCACACTCCATCCCAGCCAATCAAGGAAGCCTATGCAAATAGGGGCCCTGTCGCCCCGGCAACCATGATGCGCAGCAGCCAATTGAAACCGGCAAGTCGCGGCCCTGCTCCACGATTGGGACGGAAGGGATGAGACAGCGGTCCAATGGGCTGTGGGAACGGTCCTCGGCGGGCTGAGGGGCGGGGATATGCAAATATGGTTTGAAAAGCCGGCGGGAAATCTGAGTTTCGCGGGAGGACCTTGGCGCGTAAACCGTATCCCTTCATTCATTGTCAGCAGCAGCTTCCTGGAGCCATTTTTCAGCTGCCGGCCGCAGCACTCGGGCTGCCGCCGCCGCCTCGCAATCCATTGCATCGGCCGCCCCCGACGCCTTCATCCCCCCTCGGGGCCCGATATCCGTGCGGCCGGGACCCTCCTCTCTCCAGGGCCCCGATTATTTTTGGCCCCCGGGGCCCGTGCGGTGCGGAAAAATAAAAAGAAAAGAGAGAGAAGGGGCTCGGAAGCGCCGGGCGGGGAGGAGAGAAGGAGGAGAGACTTGGAAACTCCGACTGCAAATAATAAAAGAAATTGCAAACAATACGTTAATATTACCATAGCAATAAAAAGAGCAGGAGCGAGAGATGAGAAAGGGGATCCAGCCCGCCCTGGAGCAGTACCTGGTGACCGCCGGGGGTGGGGAGGGGGCGGCTGTCGTCGCCGCGGCCGCTGCAGCCTCCATGGACAAAAGGGCACTGCTAGCCAGCCCCGGCTTCCCCGCCGCCGCCGCCGCCCCCAGCGCATACATCCAGATCCTCACCACGAACACTTCCACCACCTCCTGTTCCTCTTCCCTCCAAAGCGGCGCCGTCGCCGCCGGCCCCCTCCTCCCCAGTGCCCCCGGCGTGGAGCAGACCGCTGGCAGCCTCATCTACACCACGCCGCACGGACCCTCCGGCAGAGCCGGGCTGCTGCAGCAGCCACCAGCACTGGGACGCGGCGGCGGCGGCCCTCCGGTAAATGCCCTCCCGTCCCCACCGTCCCCAGCCCGGGCGGGAGGTGGGCTCGCATCGCACGGGGTGGTGGGCGCGCTGCGGGCGGCCCTTGGTGGGGAGCGCGGGGCCGAGCGTCTCGGGCTTCGGCGGCTGCCCCTCCAGCGAGGGTTTATTGTTAAAGACTTGTGTGTTGCCCCCCGCCAGCGCCCGGAGGGTCGGGGGGCTCCGCCGCCAGAGCGGGGCGGCGGGGATCGCCTTGGCGCGAACCACATCAAACACTCCGAAACTTTTCGTGGCCCCCCCCTACTCTTCTTTTCCTGCACTTTTCCCTACCCCCACTCTCCCCTCCCCTCCAACTCGAAGCTTCCTCTTTCTCGGGCGTAGGAAGGGGTCACGCCCCGGATGGAGAAGGGGGTGGAGGAGGGAGTAGGGAACTGGGGAGTGGGAGACTCCGGGGGGTGGAAACCGGGGTGGGGGTCCTGGGGCTGATGGCCCCTCCTTCCGGCCTCCGGGGCCCGTTGGCAGCCGGGGGTCGCTAAGGCGTGCCCTGAGTGCAGGGGCTCTTGCCAGGTTGCGTTTTGACACATTTGGGGATCTGTTAACTCCCGGCAACAAAGGGGCTGGGGGGAGTGGAGGGGGGCGGTGGAGCAGGGAGCCCGGTGCGGGCCCGGGCGTGGGCTGTCTGGGGGGTGAGGGGCTCGCGGGCTGGCGGCCCCGGCCTGGGCGCATCCTGGCGGTGGCCGCGGCGGCGCCCGCGTGGCCCGAGCGCCCGGGCCTTCCTTGCCGGGCCCCGGGCCTGCCCTTGACCCGCCTCTCCCCTTGCCCCTTCCTTCCCCCCGCCCTGTCCCCCTCTCCGCCCCCCGGCGACGGAGGGCGGGGGCAGCCGTGTTCCCGTCCCGCCGCCTGGGTCTGTCCCTCTCCCCGGGACCCGCCGGTGACGTTTCGCACACGTGCGCGGAGGACGCGCCTGTGACTGGGGAGGAGGCGGCGGCGGCGGGAGGGGGCGCTGGAGGGGGAGAGGGGGCACCCACTTCCTCCTGCTCGCCGGCTCCCTGGCCTGGGACCGTCCCGGCGCCCTCGCACCCGCCCCCGGCGCGGCCACCCTCCCTCTCCTCTCCCCGGCACCCCCCCCCCCCCTCCACGGGCGCCCGCCCTCGCCCGGCGCCGCCGGTCCGCTCGGCCCTTCGGGCCCCCTCTCCAGCCGGCACCCCCCACCTCCCCCCCGGAGCCAGGCTGGTTTCGGAAATGCCCTTACAGCAGCAGGTTAGTGACCGGGACGGCTCGGGGGGCCGCCGCCGCCGCGGGGGCACCGGATTCTGTTGGGGGGCTGGAGCCGTGAGGGTAGGCGGTTGAGCGGGGTTTTGGAGTGGGAACGGGGGGTTGGGTGCTCGAGGGAAATGAGTAAGCAAGAAAAATGTAACTAAGTAAATGCCCCGGCCTCCGGTTCTAGGAACCCGGGGGGCAGGAGTGTCCGCCCCAGGGGGTAGGTATGGCGTTTACGTGGATTTTTTCCTAGGGGGGCCGAGGGATGGGCGATCGGAGGGGGGCTTCTCGCCGATGGCCGAGTTGAGCTCTGTTTTCTGTCTTCCTTCCCTTGTGCTGGAGGGGGAGGGGGGCGGGTCAGAGGGTAGGGTGTCTGTAGGATTCCCAGGCCACCCGCCACCCCCTCCCTTTGTCCCTGTAATTTATAAAGCGCCTTTGAGAGATGATTTAGGTCAGTATGCGGCTTCTTTTTTGTTGATACTAGAAAGAAGTGTGGCCGGGAGGTCTTCCCCCTTTCTCCTTTTCTCTCCTGCATTCCCTTCCTCCATGCCTCCAGTCTTCTCCCTCGTGGTGAGGCTTGGCCCCCACGAGGCTAGGAACAAACCAGACCCAGTTTAGATAAATGGTGGGTTGGTCGGACCCGTCGTTGACCTCACCTTGTCTCGGCTCCGAATGGGCTGAAATTTGGGGAGACTCAAGATTCTGCGGACGTCTTTAAGAGCGGCAGCACCCAGGCAGCACTTCGGGGGCAAGAGATGGGTCTGGGAAGAATGAAATATTTTATTTCCTGACTCTTCTCAATTTCTCCTCGAGTTGGGTCTTAAGTGCTTTCCAACCCCGGAGATACTTGCTAGGGATGTGTGATACCTTCTCAGTCAAAGAAGCTCTCATCGCGTTTAGTGACTAGGGTCTGCCAGCAGGGGGGAAAAGAGTATAGGACCTGCTCACACATACAGTATCCACTGTGCCGGATTCTCAGTCACAGGAATATGCCACGCTTTTACTGGCATTAAATACTATTACTGACTTGAGCTAAACATGCTTGGATATATTTCAAGCATATATGCCCCCTACTCGGTTCTGCCCCTATATCATAAACCTAATCTGAAACAGCCAGCTATTGACATACTTCTGGGATTGGACTCAGATTTATGGGAGGGTAGTTTTGATCATGGGAAATTGCGACCACCGGTTTTTGGGTTTTTTTTTTTTTTAACTTTTGAATTTTAGCCCACTTGGGCCGAGTCTTTGAAACTGTGTAGCCAAACTTCTCTGTAGTGCCTTGTATTTAAGCATAGAAAATTACCCTCACCACCTTCCAGGCTATTTAAAAACTTTATCCTCCTTTTCATGAGATTATTATTCTAAAGACAAGAAAACTGTATATAAAGTTTGGTTTCTTTTTTTTTTTTCTTATCAAAATTGTATTAGCCCTCTATTTAAGTCTTGAACTTTTGTTGATATTCTTTCCCTAAGCAGGAGAGACAGCACAGGGAGAGCTAAGTGATTGGCTGAGCAAAGAGATCATTTAAACACTTTCCATCCAAAACAGGTTGAGAAATCCTGTTGAGGTTGCCAGAGTTGCAGACCTACCTGGTTCTGATTTCCATGTTCTGTCTTTGGAATTTAAAACTAAGAGCATACTCTTCACCTTTTTTTTTTTTATTAATGTGGGGGGAAAATCCATATATATTTGTGTTATCTATTATTCGTGTATATATATACCAATTATATATATATATACACATTTAGTACAGTCTTACTAGCTGCAGTTGCCTGTGTCATTTATAAGTCATCAGATCTTAGGCAAATAATAATCTCTCTCACAATACCACTGTAAAAAAGGGGCAATAAGAAATATGAACATGAAAGTTTTTTTTAGGGTTAAATATGACAGTGCAAGTAAAACAGTACTGAACCAGGCAAATAGTAGATGCCTAATGAAATGAATATCCAGAAATGTTTGTGTTTTTTTTTTAACTTAGAGAAATAATGTAAGAACATGTGCACACTGCCCCTTTGTTGACATGTGTGAGTAAAATGGCTAAAACTCTTTTAAAGTGGTAACATAACTATTTATACCTGATTAACTTGAGTTTTTAAATCCATATGTCACGGCGATCTTCAAGAACGGTTAAAATAGGGACACGTCACTAGGACAGGCCTGTGTTAGAGATGGTGGTGATGTACTGCCCAAGCATGAGCTTGTGCCTTGAGCTGTGACAAATCTAGATCAACTCACCCTAACTTTCTGGCCTTGCTCCTCCCTTGATCCCAGGGACCTACCATCCTTGGGTGCAGCCTGTGCTCTATAGCTTTTGTAGAACTGAGCTCTTCATCATTGCCATGTCAGAGATATGCACCAGGTAAATGGAGTTTCAGATGGTGAGCTGTTGGGCACAGCGATCTAGGGAAACCATAGTCAATAAGTGCTGCTTTCTAGAACAGAAGGGGCTTCATCATTTTCTGCCTCTGCTAAAAAGCAGCTGAATGATTTCATCCCACTTCTAGAAAGTTTGGGATCTATTAATGCAAGAGACAATGACCTGTCACATCTGATTTAATTTGATCCAGTCACAGCAACCCGCTGATTAGACTTTGGGAAGGAACCCACAATGCTTGAAATTTTCGTGTAAGAATGGAGAAACCATAGGTGCTACAGCTGAGTCTGTTTTTGTTTTTTTTTTTTTCCTGTATGAGTATAAAAGAAGAAAAATGCTGGGTTCCTGTGGTTCTGTACTCAATAATCTTGCTTCTGCTGAGATAGATGGTTGGTGCCAAGTTTAAGCTAGGAGAGAATTTTTAGTCACTACATACCCCAAAATGGAAGTTTTAATATAATGCAGTGCCCAGACTCGGGCAGTACAAATAGCTCCACTATAATCAGTACCCATGGTGCCACTCTAATCATCCTCTGAAACAAAGCACTCTTAAATGTGGCTCTGTGAGCTAAGGAACCCAAGCTTGCGAACAGGAAAGGATTTTTTTTTTTTCTGTTTTTCTATAAATCGTCACCTTGTATAATACTTGGAAGAGTAGATTCTGAGATTAATGTTGTGTTGTGTAAAAGCTAACTTGAAAACAGAAAATAATACTCTAAGCTTAGACATGAATAAATAACAGCACCTGGAGATTGAAAGGTTATAGAGAAAAGTGGCTTTTATTCTCATTTCTTACAGGTATAATGCATAGTTGTCTTTTATTGCCACTCCCAGCGATACACCATCCATACTTTTAGCCTCTTTCCAAAGGACCTGGACCCATTTGGCAAGGCTTCAAATATTCATAGTTGATTTTCTGGCTGCTTTTCTAATTTGACATGAGTTACATGTATTCCATTTGTATGTCCAGTTTTCATCTACTTTCCTAGGCTGACCAACTCCCAATTCTTTTTTAACCACCTACTTTCTACTAACATTTTAAACTAGGATGAGTGAGAAATCAACCACTGCCTGTGTTCACTAAATCATGTCCCTCCTAGATGCACATGAAACCACCACAAATAGTGCATGGCAAAGAAGGTAGACTGCAGTTCTTATCAGATGCTCTGTTTCATTTTAGTTTTTAAATAGAGGAACTTCCCTGAATTCTTTGAGGTACTAGGCATGTGGTTTAATGCATATTTTTCATGCTTGTTAGCAGCTTAAAAATAAGTGTTTCGGGTACTGTATTTACAATGGCTAAGACGCTTTTTTTTTCTTAAACTAATCATTTTTCAGGGGAGTAAGAAGTCCAGCTCACTGGGAAAGTAGTGAGTT